CTCCTACTCCGCCCCCTCCCCATCATCCTATCCATCTCCTACTCCGCCCCCTCCCCATCGTCGTACCCATCTGCTACTCTGCTCCCTCCCCATCATTGTACCCATCTCTTACTCCATCCCTGCCCATCATTCCCTTCACTTCTTACTTTCTGGCTGTCCCATCATCCCTTTTATCCAGCCCAACCATTACACCAACCTTATCCAGCATTTCATCCACTTTCTACATACAGGTGCCTTGTCCCCATGATCTTCCTCCAACAGGTACCCCTCCCCCAACAAACATCCTCATCTGTCACTTGGAGTCCCCCCATCCCTTACATTTTTCCCACATACTGTGCATGTGCATTTGTATGTGTCTAAACACTGTCTATGCATATGCAAGTACATTACAGGAGTGCTCAGTACATATGTATGCACTATACAGGGTTAGTACACAATACAACTCAAAACTTTAACATTCAACTTTAATAATTTTTTCATTAAATTCATAAGTTTCTAAGCATTCATGCCATATGAGACTATTTAAATACTGATAGAATTCCAAGAGGAAGCAAACAAGCACTCAATGGCACATTTTAACACCTATGGACTTGCAAGGAAAACCTTTAACATTTCAGGACGGCCAGCCGGCTGGCCCGCCGGACAGAAGACGGAAATCGGTATTACATAGGCTGGTACTTGCTTCGCAGCTTGCCAAAAAACCACATCTGAAACCAAAATGTTAGTGCTTTGCACTGTGCAGTTTGTGAGTTATACGTCATTGAACTTTGGATCTTTTATTTCACTATCACTTTGGATGCCTGTATCTTTGGATAGGAAAGTAAGATAGAGATGATTTTCTCCTCAAAGGTCATGGGCTAAGAAACCATGTGATATTATGTGACAAACATGAAATTTTCCTCAAGAGGTCAAGCAAACTGAACTCTGACCTTGACCCCTTGTGGGCTGCAAAAATTATATTTTTTTTGGGAAAGTTTGGCCACAGAAAGTCCCAGGTGCAGTTACTGTGCTTGGAAATTATGAAAATGACTTCTCAAGGTGTTTGGGTGGGGGATAAGTTTTACAGGAAAGCAGTCAAGTCGAAATTTATGCAACTTGTCCCATGACTTGACTTTCGAGACGGTTCCTCACCCAGATAGCTGTTGAGACCCACGCCGGTCGACTCGTCCACCAGTAAAGATCGACTCCGCTCAAAGAAGTCGCCCTCTGCGCCGATGACATTGACCGAGAAGACGCCCCCTCTCCAGTCCCCGGCTCCGGGCAGTCCCGCGATGTATTCTCCTCCAAAGCCATCCTCGTCTTCCTGCTCACGCAGATGCAGAAAGGGGGGAGGGAGGAAAGGGTACGTGTATTTGGCATCAACAATTTGAGTTTCACCGACAATTTGGAAACACCTTCAAATTTTGCCAGCTGGAAACACAGAATTAGCATTTCTTCTCCAGATGGGGAGATCTTGGAAACAGCAGGGGAACCCAACTTTCGGGTACCCTTATAAATCTAAAGAATGGGGGAAGGGGGGAGGATCAGAATCTGCACCCTCCTCCCCACATTTTCTCTGATATCACTGCCATGCATTGTTTTGTCACCATGGCAAGCCGTCATCTGGTGGAGTTCAAGCAATGTCTTACAATCATTTTAGCACCAATTTTATGAAAATCAGACATAGCATTTTTGCAAAATACCCATTCTTCCGAGGCAGGTCGTCCAAAAATGTTAACTTTTCCCCATTGAC